GCTGGTCCCGAGGCCGATCCTGGGCCGGTCCTGAGGGGATCCCTGGGCTGATCCTGATGCTGATCCTTGGACAGGTCCTGAGGCGGATCCCCGGCTGATCCTGAGGTGGATCCCTGGGCTGGAGGAGGCAGCTTCCCTCCCATTCTTCACGTTCGGGCACAGAGTGCCCTGCACGCAAGCAGGGGAGGCGCATGGGGGAAACACTGCGTTGGGCTGAGTCGGCTTTGAGTCCTGAGGGTCGCAGCCAGCCTCCTTTTACACCTTTCAGAGGCTTCGGGTTTCACACATTGTAATTAGAGGAGGCATGCGGTGGAGTGGACTTAGTCCATCTTCTCTAGAACTGTCAACAGTACTTTTTTTTTTAAATTTTATTTATTTTTTTATTATTATGTTATGTTAATCACCATAGGTTACATCATTAGTTTTAGATGAAGTGTTCCATGACTCATTGTTTGTGCATAACACCCAGTGCTCCATGCAGAACGTGGCCTCTTTAATACCCATCACCAGGCTAACCCATCCTCCCACCCCCCTCCCCTCCAGAGCCCTGTTTGTTTTTCAGAGTCCATCGTCTCTCATGGTTCGTCTCCCCCTCCGATTTCCCCCCTTCATTCTTCCCCTCCTGCTACCTTCTTCTTCTTCTTTTTTTTTTTTTTTTTAACATATAATGTATTATTTGTTTCAGAGGTACAGGTCTGTGATTCAACAGTCTTGCACAATTCACAGCACTCACCATAGCACATACCCTCCCCAATGTCTGTCACCCAGGCACCCCATCCCTCCCACCCCCCACCACTCCAGCAACCCTCAGTTTGTTTCCTGAGATTAAGAATTCTTCATATCGGGGCACCTGGGTGGCTCAGATGGTTAAGCGTCTGCCTTTGGCTCAGGTCATGATCCCAGGGTCCTGGGATCGAGTCCCGCATCAGGCTCCCTGCTAGGCGGGGAGCCTGCTTCTCTCCCTCTGCCTCTGCCTCTCTCTCTCTCTCTGACTTTCATGAATAAATAAATTTTAAAAATTAACAAAAAAAAGAATTCCTCTTATCAGTGAGGTCATATGATACATGTCTTTCTCAGATTGACTTATTTCGCTTAGCATAATACCCTCTAGTTCCATCCATGTTGTAGCAAATGGCAAGATTTCAAATTTTTGATGGCTGCATAATATTCCATTGTATATATACACCACATCTTCTTTATCCATTCACCTGTCGATGGACATCTTGGCTCTTTCCACAGTTTGGCTATTGTGGACATTGCTGCTATAAACATTGGGGTGCAGGTGCCCCTTTGGATCACTACATGTGTATCTTTGGGGTAAATACCTAGTAGTGCAATTGCTGGGTCATAGGGGAGCTCTATTTTCAACTTTTTGAGGAACCTCCATACTGTTTTCCAGAGTGGCTGCACCAGCTTGCATTCCCACCAACAGTGTAGGAGGGTTCCCCTTTCTCCGCATCCCTGCCAACATCTGTCATTTCCTGACTTGTTAATTTTAGTCATTCTGACTGGTGTGAGCTGGTATCTCATTGAGGTTTTGATTTGTAGTTCCCTGATGCCAAGCAATGTTGAGCACTTTTTCATGTGTCTGTTGGCCATTTGGATGTCTTCTTTGGGAAAATGTCTGTTCATGTCTTCTGCCCATTTCCTCATTGGATCATTTGTTCTTTGGGTGTTGAGTTTAATAAGTTCTTTATAGATTTTGGATACTAGCCCTTTATCTGTTATGTCATTTGCAAATATCTTCTCCCATTCTGTCGGTTGTCTTTTGGTTTTGTTGACTATTTCTTTTGCTGTGCAAAAGCTTTTTATCTTGATGAGGTCCCAATAGTTCATTTTTGCCCTTGCTTCCCTTGTGTTTGATGTTTCTAGGAAGAAGTTGCTGTGGCTGAGGTCGAAGAGGTTGCTGCCTGTGTTCTCCTTTAGGATTTTGATGGACTGCTGTCTCACAGTTAGGTCTTTCAACAATTTTGAGTCTATTTTTGTGTGTGGTGTAAGGAAATGGTCCAGTTTCATTCTTCTGCATGTGGCTGTCCAATTTTCCCAACACCATTTGTTGGAGAGACTGTCTTTTTTCCATTGGACATTCCTGCTTTGCTGAAGATTAGTTGACCATAGAGTTGAGGGTCCATTTCTGAGCTCTCTATTCTGTTCCATTGATCTATGTGTCTGTTTTTGTGCCGTACCATACTGTCTTGATGATGACAGCTTTGCTTTTCTTTTTCAACATTCCTCTGGCTATTCGGGGTCTTTCCTGGTTCCATACAAATTTGAGGATTATTTGTTCCATTTCTTTGAAAAAAGTGGATGGTATTTTGATGGGGATTGCATTGAATGTGTAGATTGCTCTAGGTAGCATTGACATCTTCACAATATTTGTTCTTCTGATCCATGAGAATGGAACGTTCTTCCATTTCTTTGTATCTTCCCGCTATTCAACATAGTACTAGAAGTCCTAGCCACAGCAATCAGACAAAAAAAGAAATAAAGGGCATCAGAATCGGCAAAGAAGAAGTCAAACTCTCACTCTTTGCAGATGATATGATACTTTTTTTGGAAAATCCAAAAGACTCCACCCCAAAACCGCTAGAATTCATACAGGAATTTAGTAAAGTGGCAGGATATAAAATCAGTGCACAGAAATCAGTGGCATTCCTATGCACCAACAACAAGACAGAAGAAAGAGAAATTAAGGAGTCGATCCCATTTACGATTGCGCCCAAAACCATAAGATACCGAGGAATAAATCTAACCAAAGAGGTAAAGCATCTGTAATCAGAGAACTATAAAAGTGATACTTTTTAAAAGACCATCAGGAGTCAGTACAGAACATACATTAATACCAGTTAAAAACTGCGGGGACAAAGGGCCAGTACAAGTCAAAGATGCCTTCGACTAAGCACAGGACCGGCCGAGAGGTTGCTGCCGATGCTCCCCTCCCAGGCAATGGGATCTGTAGGGCTTCCAACCCCAGTGCCTCACTTTGTAGGGGCGGCCCTACAGTCAGCACCCAGGGACATTCCTGTCTGAGGCCCCTGTCAGCGACTAGTGTCCTTGCCTTCCAGGGAGGCCCGTGGCCCCGGACCTGGGGCTCTGGGCTCTGGATCAGACTAGCTGGTGCTAATTCAGCCTCTACAGCTCTCGAGCTACGTCATCCGGGATTCAGTTTCCAACCTGTAAAGTCAGGACAATAATGCAGAACACAACACCCTTTACAACCTCCTCCACTTGGGCCTGGTCCGAGTGATTCCATTCTGGATCCTGCACGCTTGTCCCCACACAACCAATATTGCAGACTGAAAGCCACATCGTTCCACTCCCTCGACCCACCGCTTCCCCAGGCCCTTACAATGAAGGTGCAGGCCCTCCGTGATCGGGCCCTGCCTGCTCCCACCACATCTCACACCATTCTCTCCCCGCGCTCCTCACTGCAGCCACTCCGCAGTTCCTTGGGTCCCCAGGCATGCTCCTGCCCCAGGACCTTGGCATGCGACCCCACATGGAACCATCTTTCCCCAGAAGGAGCCAGCATTGTGTGGTAGAAAGGGGAAAGCCCTGACCCTGCTGCATTGAATCTTGACTCGGCCACTTGCTAGCTGTGTGACCTAAGCAAATTACTTTTTCTATCTTTTGGTTTCATCATAGGCAAAATTGTCATAAAATAGTATCACTGGGGCGCCTTCGTGGCCCAATCAGTTGGACGTTGGATTCTCGGTTTTGGCTCAGGTCATGATCTTGGGGCTGTGGGATCGAGCCCCACGTGGGGCTCCGTGCTCAGTGCAGAGTCTGCTTGGGATTCTCTCTCCCTCTGCCCCTGCCTCCCCCCTTTAAAATAAATAAATAAATCTTTAAAAATGTATAATATCACTAACATAGTGTTGTCATGAAAATTCAGACTATGTGTATAAATTCCTTAGAATGCTTGGCAAATCATTAGCACTGAGTGTGATGTAGAGATATAATTTAAACATATTTGTAAGTATACTTAGTGTAAAACATATACATATTTTCCTCCCCTGTTCCTTTGGGTCTTTGCTCAAACTTCAGAGGAGCATTCACTGACTTCCCCATATAATACTCAAAGTCTCCTATCCCTTTCACTTGCTTTCGCTCACAGCATTCCTAACATCTCCCACATTAAATACTTATTTCCTTGCTGTCTGTACAAAAGCTCCATGGAAACAAAGATAGTGCCTATCTATTTTGTTCACTTCTGTCCTCAGCTCCGAGAGCAGGGCTCTTGCCGTGGAAGGAACTCATTACATACTGACTTGGTGAAGGAATAAAAATACCTCCTCGGAGTACATGAAGAACCAGTGGGACGACATGTTAAGTGCTCAGTATGGTACCCGGCGCGCACAGGGCACCGTTAGCTATTTCTCGATGGCTCTCAATAAACACGAACTCTTTTTTCATTACCATTGTACCTTGCAGGGTTCAAGGGGCAAGTTAAGCCATATGATGCTTCCATATACTAAAAGGAGGAAGTGGGAGGCTCTTTCGGTGACGACGCCAACTTTAGCAGGAGCCTCCGAAGGCAGGCATAGGAAGGACTCGACAGGACACACCTACGCCTTAGGAAGGAATCGTGTGGGTGAGTTAGAGGAGGAAGAAGCCAAAGACGATCTGCCAGGCGACACTGCGAAAGTCCTGACCCACACGAAGTTTACATTCTAGATAGAAAGCTTTCACAGGCTTTTTAGTTTTTCAGTAGTCCTCGGAACTCTGAGACTTAGGAGGGATACATATTATCCCCATTTTCCGAGGGACCTGAGTCCAGAGTGGTGCAGTCAGAGGGGAGCAACAGTGAGGGCTGGACCAAGAGCCCACGCCTTCCCCTTTACCCCGGGGTCTTCCCACTTGGCTACGTGACCTCATCACCACGCTCACAGTATTTTGTGATTTGGATAATTTGAACAAAGTAAACTCATTTATCAGTAATCATGTGCAACTACTTCCTCCACCTGTTTTATAATAAATGTCTTACGTTTTTGAAACAGTGACTTTCAAGATACAGCAATGGGACATACGCAGACAAGATTTCCTTGAATCTGCTCCTGGCTTGGGAATGTTTGTGACTGTTAGAACTTACAATGATGAGGTAAAATATTCTTTTATGTTTTGTTACTAAAATTTTTAATTTGCTAAAATTCATATATCATGTATCCCCTCAAACTTTAAGAAAAACCTCCGCATAAGCACTCATTAACCAGAACTGACAATTTTTAATGTGTCTAGTCCTGAATAAAGGGACTACACAGAGACGTGGAAAGTGCCTGCCTTCAGTGAGCCTATTGTCTAGCTCAAGAGCAGAGACCTTAACATAAAATATTTCAGAACAATGTAAATGATGGGCCTCGTGCTCATCATCCTGAGATTCGCTGGTCTTGCTGGGCCACAGTCTCCCCCCTCCTCCGTGGCAGCCCCTTGGTCTGTTGGGTCTCCCTGGCCGCTTCCTCATTAGGGGGTTAGCAGGAGTAGAAGAGGTACCAGGATCCAGTGGAGAGAATGTGAATGTTGGAGTCAGAGCCAAGTTAAAGTGCAGACTGTCAAGCTCAATCTTCAGCAGGTTGTTGACTGCTCCAGTCCTCAGTTTTCTCATCTGTACAGTGGGTGTTAACAGTGACCTCCGTTCCCCACCGTGCCAGCTCAAGATCCTGACTTGCTCAGTCCAATCACTCAAACACAGTTGTGAGAACGACTTCCCTTTGGACTTAGAGCTGCCCTGGGGATGTGCCCATGGGACAGCAAGGATGGATAGCAAAACCTCATAGACCAGAACAGGCATCTCCTCTGGGGAGGAGAGGATACAAAGTTCCTGTTCTCGTTAAACTGGATGATTGCCTGATCCGAGCTCAGGAGACATTCTGACACCTCCACTCCTGTGGAGACTGGGAGTGGGGTCACTGGAGAGACTCCACTCCAGCTGGATGGATGGGACCCTTGAGCCTGGCTGCTATGGCACCTTCTCCTGGTGCACCTAGCACCTGCCTGACGGTGGTTCTGCTGGGCCTGTCCGTGTAGCTACCTCCCCTCCCTACAGCCTGCCTCTCGGGCTTTTTGCCTGGTTATACAAAAACCTAATTCTCCTCTGTTCTTTCATGAGCAATCTGGAAATGTCTCCATGGCTTATTAAACGCTGAATCCAAATTTTAGTTGAGCTCAAAACTGTCACAGAACATCCCAGTCACTATTTTTAAGACAGAGAAGGTTCATTCTTCAAAAATATAATTGCCTGATCTAATACCCCCTTCTACAAGGGAGGAAAAATATTTTAATTTATTCTGCATTCAACAAATATTAAACGTGAGCCTAATATATACCCTACCCTCTTCCTGACCTAAGAGAGACAAAATTCTCACCCCATAGGGCTGATTTTCAAGAAAGCTCTCCCCATTTTGAAGAACAAGAGACAGCCCTAGTTTCAAAATGTCTTACGAGATCCTCCTTTACGGTCCTTATCAGCACCTCCACAGGGCCTCTGTTTTTACTTGGGTCAGTGTGTCTGGGGGCCTGGGGTACTCTAAGTTGCCCACCTTGATCATATGTCCATTCCTATGGCATGTGACTGACAGCCCCAGGGAAAGACATGGCTGGTGGGGTAGGCAGGGCAGTCAGTAACAGCATATACGTACCATACAAACACATGCATTTTGTATTCCATTATTTCCCTAATGATTAGTGATGGTGAGCATCTTTTCCTGTGTTTTTTGGCCTTTTTTCTTTTAGCCCTTTGAGTGTACCAACCCACTGCCTTCTGGTCTCCAAAGTTTCTGATCAGAAGTCTGCTGTGATTCTTTTTTTTTTTTTTTTTTAAGGCGGCTCCATGCCCAGCATGGAGCCCAATGCAGGGCTTGATCTCATGACGATGAGATCAAGACCTGCACTGAGATCAAGAGTCAGATGCTTAACCGACTGAGCCACCCAGGCACCCCGAAATCTGCTAATATTCTTATGGAGGATCCCTTGTGTGTGACCATTATGAAGGTCCTCCATATTTGGAGGACAGGGTCCTTTTTGCCCACCCTGGCTTCCACATGCTGCGTGCAGGTTGTCCAGCAACTCACGCACATCGGCCTGCCACCTGGCTGGGGGTGGGGACGAGGTTGGGTAGCTGCTCCCGTGCTCGGAGCCGACACCGACCAAAGTTAACCACAATTTACCACATGAGGCTTCCCCTGGAAATTGCAAGCCTTCAATAGACTCCATAGTTCCAAAATAGCTACATCAGACGGATTCTAACAGTGTAATTGTGGTCTGGATGGGAAGACAGACTCCTGGTGCTGCCTACCTCACCATCTTCCCAGAATCCCCTCGTAGTTCAAAATGTTTTTAAATCTCTTAGGATTTCTTCCTCAAACCATGTGTTATTTAGAAATGTGCTTAATCTCGACATATTTTGGGATCTTTGTTATTGACTTCTACTTTAACTCCATTGTGTTCTGAGAGCAGACTTTGTGTGGTTTCTGTTACCGTTATTATTTTTTGAAATACAGTTGATGGGTTTCTACTATTTTAAATGTGTCAAGGTGTGCTTGGTGGCCAGAACGGGGTCTGTCTTGGTGAGTGCGCCAGGTGAGCTTGAGAACGTGCGTGTTCTGCTGTTGCTGGATGAAGCAGGCTGTACTCAAACACCATGTGCAGGTGACTGACGGTGCTGCTGAGTCCAGCGATGTCCTTCCTGACCTGCTGCTGGATCTGCCCGCTCCTGACAGAGGGGTGTCAGAGACCCCAGCTTCAACAGCAGACTCTCCTCCTCCTCCTGCAGTCCTGTCAGTTTTTGCCTCATATATTTTGCTTGGTTGTTAGGTGCTTACCCATTAAGGATTGTTTTGTCTTCTTGGATAATTGACCTCTTCGTCTTTATGTAATGCCCCATTATGTGATTATCCCTGATAATCTTCCTTGATCTGAAGTCTACTGTGTCTGACGTTAATATGAGCATTCTGGCTTTTTTTGTAAGGTTAAAGTTAGCATATACATCTTTTTCCATCCCTTAACTTTTAATCTACATGTGTCTTTCTATTTCAAGTGGGCTTCTTGTAGACAACAGAGTTTTGTTTTTTGATCCACTCTGTGTGTATTCTTCAGAATCTTCTTCTAAACTTATAGAAACACACACACACACCTGTACCTTGACAAATGATTTTTTTAATAAGAAATGGGGCCCTATACACACTACTGTAGTGTAGGATATTGGGGACATCTTTAGTACAGGACACATATGGGTACAATAGTCTCTTCTTTGCCCCATAACATTCCTTTATTTGGATTTGCCTAAATTTAGTCAATCCCCTACTAAAAGGTACTAAAGTAATTCCAAGAATGCAACTTTGCCATTACAAAAAACACCACACTGAATATCACTTTACATATAATTTTGTCTACTTGTGCATTTCCATAGAATAAGTTCCTGTAGGTAGAATCACTGAGTCAATGGTCACATCCAGTTTAATTTTTAATACATATTGCTGAACTGCTTTCCAAATGGTTGTTCAACTTACATTTCCAAATCAGTGTTTAGAAATAGTATTTCTCAATACCATCCCTGGACACTTTTATTTAAATCTTTGCCAATCTGATAGTAAATAAGGGCTATCTTACTCTGGGTGTGTGTGTGCGCGTGTGCGCGTGCACGTTGTTTTTACCAACAAGGATAAATATTTTTCATTTTTATTGACCATTTCTTCTTTAGGAACTGCACACTTCTTACTAAACTAACAGGGGAGATCTATTTTTAAGAAGGGAAAGTAGAGAATAATAAACTTAAACTCTGGAAATCCTTAATCCTAGGTATTATTGTCCAAGTTATATGGCCCACAAGGAAGGTTCTATTTTACTTCACATTCACCTGGCGAACACATCATTTGCTTGGAATCTAATTCTACGAGGCTTGTGTCGTTTGGTGGGAGTAAGCTGGTGAGTATATGCCTCCCATGTCCTTGTTGATGAACAGAGCATCAGCACTATTCAGGCATGACGTTGGTATGCAGAACCATTACACCCGGACTGGCTAGAAACTTATTAAAGTCCTGTGCCCAGATCTCAGTGCAGCAACCAAAGAGGGAGCTGGAGAGCTTGGAAGGGGTTCAAAGGAGAGCTACAGCGTTGATTAAAGGCCTTGAAAAACAAGAACCATGAGGGAAGGTTAAAAGAACTGTGATTACTCAGGCCTGAAAACAAGCAAAGACTGGAGGGTAAATTAACAATGGAATTCCAATAAATAAAACTCTTATACGGCAGATGGTGATCGGTTATTTTCTGAACGGGCTGAGAGCAGACGAAGAAAATCTGTACTTTAGGATCAGAAATTTAGTCATATGTAAAGAAAATTTTCCTAAAAGTAATCAAATTCTTTCAGTGCCAAAAGCATTTACCTAGTAGTAGATTTGACGTTCAGGAGGGTCTAAGTACTATCTCAGGACCGTGGGTCACCAACTAATGATTATTACATAGGAAGACTGCTGAGTAGGGCAGGGGGTAGACAGGCAGTGAGAGATGGAGAACAAAGTGGGGCCTGCTCTTGAAGGGGGGGTGGAGAGATGCAGGAGAGGAGTTGGGGGACACAACAAGGGAAACGCAGAGTGGAGCGGTTTTAAGAAGGCTTCTTCCTTTTTCCTGTTTGTACAGCGGATCCACTTAGAGGTTCGAGTTGGACGACATAACCTTGATGCAGCCATTGCTCAAGCGAAGGACAAAGTTAATGAAGTTAGCTTTAAGCTGGAACATCTAATTGAGCAAATCGAGCAAATAGTCAAAGAACAGAACTATCAAAGGGTCAGTGTGCCTATTCAGCTTATTTTATCTCTTCCTGCCGGGAACACAATTCTGGAGACAAAGCCCCCAAACCACAGAAAGGATAAACTGCCTGTTCCTCGGTCATTCTCTCTGAGCTAGCACTGTGGGGACACTCGGGGTGAAGGGAAAGAACAATCTTTCACTATCTGCCAGACTGTGAGCTCCTCTAGGAAAGGGGACTGCAGCTCATTGGCCTCTGGGGTGTGGGCTTAATAGAACGAATAAATGCTCCCAAACACACCCAACATGTATGAAGAGGCTCCGTATGCCCATTTTCTAGATCAGTTTTATTCTTGTGACACTGTGTGTTTCCCGGGTCACTGTGCTCAGTGGACTCTGGTCAGACATGGGGTCAAATCCAGACTCCAGTTTCCTTACCTGGAAAATAAGAGGAGGACAGTGCCCAGCTTGAAGTAAAGTAAGGACACCAATCTTTTTTTTTTTTTAAGATTTTATTTATTTATTTGAGAGAGAGAGAATGAGAGAGAGCACATGAGAGGGGGGAGGGTCAGAGGGAGAAGCAGACTCCCCGCCGAGCAGGGAGCCCGATGCGGGACTCGATCCAGGGACTCTAGGATCATGACCTGAGCCGAAGGCAGTCGCTTAACCAACTGAGCCACCCAGGCACCCGTAAGGACCCCAATCTTGAAAATCTATCACTGTTGGCTGACATTCACTTGCTTGATGGTGAGAAATAAAATGAATAAGATAATAGATCAAATAGCATCTATTTTCCATCAAAATACAAAAATATGTTTTATTTAAGGTTGATTCTTAATCCTTATTTTTATTTTTTTTAAAGATTTTATTTACTTATTTGTCAGAGAGCGAGAGAGAGCACACAAGCAGAGAGAGAGGGAGAAGCAGACTTCCCGCTGAGCAGGGAGCCCGATGTGGGGCTCTATCCCAGGACCCCAGGGTCATGACCTGAGCCAAAGGCAGACGCTTAACGTCTGAGCCACCCAGGCATCCCTAATCCTTGTCTTTAGCTAACAACATACCCTGACTTAGAAAATCAGATACTGCACTTTGGTATATTAACTGGAAAATATTAAATATCTTCAAAGCATACAGCAGCACCTTCCCCTCAAATTCACAGTTAAATACTGTAAGGAACTAAACCTGCCTATTTCTCTTCCACATAGGACCGTGAAGAAAATTTTCGAATGATCAGTGAAGATACAAATAGCAATGTTTTATGGTGGGCTTTTGCACAAACATTATTCTTTATCTCAATCGGAATTTTCCAAATGAAATACCTTAAAGACTTCTTTATAGCTAAGAAACTCGTTTAAAATGTTAATAAAGACAAACAACTACCTGCTAATTTACATAATGTTTGAGTTAACCAATCAAAATACATTCATAACCATGCACTGCTTTTATCATTTCAAAGATAATTAGAGATTGAAATAATGTTACACTGATAAAATATTACTTTAACTATGTAGCCTTTGAGCTTGATTGAATAAGCACATCATCCAGTTCTTATTTTAGCTTGGTGTAGATCAGCACCGTCCCATAGAAATAAAATGTAAGCTACATATGTAAATGTTACGTTTTCTGCTTGCCACATTAAAAAGGTTTTTTTTAGAAGGGTAAAATTAACCCTAGTGATCTGTATTTAACCCAAAACACCAAAAATATTACCATCTTAATTCGTAAACAGTAAGGTTCCTGAGATAGTTCATGTTGCTTTTCCGATACGAAGTCTGAGAACCCCAAGCATGTGCTATACTCAAAGCACAGGTCAGTTTGGCCCAGCGCATTTCAAGGGCCCAGTGGTCACATGACATTCACAGCTAGGACACTGGACAAAGGGAGAACACCCTTTCCCCACCACTGTATTCCTCTCGGCAAGACCCATCCTGAACCTCTCCTTTCTCTACTTCCCTGCACTACGGCGCCCTTGTCCACACAAGCAAACGGCCCGGGTTTCTCTGCACCAGGTTTTCTCACTTGGGCCCCAGCAGGCACCTGCATGTGGATGGAAACTCCGCTCCCCAAGCCATGGAGGGCGCCATCCGAGGAGTGCCGCTGTGAAATGTCACCTCCATCTGCTTTCTCTAGCTGTTCACTCTGAAATAAGGACGCGCTCACTGCACGAGGCAAGAGCAGCACCAGGAGCCCCCGCCCCCCCAGCTCCACGCGGCCAGTTTCCGGGACAGGGACCCCCCAGCCCCACCCCAGGTCCAGCCCTTCACGCACGTGGCAGGTCCCCCAGCTCCACAAGGTCAGTGTCCCGGCAGGGACCCCCCAGCCCCACCCCAGGTCCAGCCCTTCACGCACATGGCGGGTCCCCCAGCTCCACGCGGCCAGTGCCCCGGACTGGGAACACCCGGAACTCCGGGTCAGGCCCTTCACGCACGTGGCAGGGCTACAGTGACTGCGGCCTGGCCCTGCCCACCTCTACCAAGGGCTGCAAACCGCAGGCCCAGGCCGCCGCCACGGCCCGTCCTGGCCCAGTCCAGTCCACCCGCCCGCCCTGCTGGGTCTGCTCTGTCCTCCCCGCTCCCCCATGTCAGTCTGTCCAGGATCCCTGGCCTCTCGGGTCCGCCCCGTGTCCCTGCCCTGCCCGCCCCCATCACGCAGGGTGCTGGGTGCACGCACAGTCTCCCCGTGCTCATCTCCGCGCCCCCGCGCCCCCGGCCTCGCGGAGGCGTGGAAGGGCACCGCCCGGCTCCGCGCCTTCCCGGCGCGCCCATGTCGGCCTAGACGACCACACTGCTCCGCAGACGGGTCACCGAGGGTTGCAATGATGGAATAAGGGAGGCCCGGCCCCGGTGTGCGAGTTGCGCATCTGCAAGTGCAGCCGGAACAGCCTGAGGGGAGAAGAATCTAATACACACACACACAAGAATCTAATTCACACACACACACAAGAATCTAACTCACACACACACACACGAATCTAATTCACACACACACACGAATCTAATTCACACACACAAGAATCTAATTCACACACACACACAAGAATCTAATACACACACACAAGAATCTAATTCACACACAGACACAAGAATCTAACTCACACACACACACACGAATCTAATACACACACACACACAAGAATCTAATACACACACAAGAATCTAACACACACACAAGAATCTAATTCACACACACACACAAGAATCTAATTCACACACACAAAGAATCTAATTCACACACACACACAAGAATCTAACTCACACACACACACACGAATCTAATTCACACACACACACGAATCTAATTCACACACACACACAAGAATCTAATACACACACACAAGAATCTAATTCACACACACACACAAGAATCTAACACACACACAAGAATCTAATTCACACACACACACAAGAATCTAACTCACACACACACACGAATCTAATACACACACACACACAGGAATCTAACACACACACACACAAGAATCTAATTCACACACACACACAAGAATCTCACACACACACGAATCTAATTCACACACACACACGAATCTAATTCACACACACACAAGAAACTAATTCACACACACACACAAGAATCTAACTCACACACACACGAATCTAATTCACACACACACACGAATCTAATTCACACACACACACGAATCTAATTCACACACACACACAAGAATCTAATTCACACACACACAAGAAACTAATACACAGACACACAAGAATCTAATTCACACACACACACAAGAATCTAACACACACACACACAAGAATCTAATTCACACACAGACACAAGAATCTAACTCACACACACACGAATCTAATACACACACACACAAGAATCTAATTCACACACACACAAGAATCTAATTCACACACAGACACAAGAATCTAACACACACACACACAAGAATCTAATTCACACACAGACACAAGAATCTAACTCACACACACACGAATCTAATACACACACACACAAGAATCTAATTCACACACACACACACGAATCTAATTCACACACACACACGAATCTAATTCACACACACACACAAGAATCTAACACACACACACACAAGAATCTAATTCACACACACACACACGAATCTAATTCACACACACACGAATCTAATTCACACACACACGAATCTAATTCACACACACGCAAGAATCTAACACACACCCCCCCACCCCCGTCCCGCTTGGGCCCCCAGCGCGCGTTTTGGCGGGAGCCGCGCCCCTCTCCCGTGCGCAGGCGCGGGTGACCAGCTGCAGTCTGCGCAGGTGCAGGAGCGCGGCGGCGGCTCCGGGCTGCGCGTGCGCCGCGCGTGCGCCGGCCTGGGCCGCGGCGGTGGGCATGGCCGGCTGGGTGTTCTGCAATCGCTGCTTCCGGCCGCCGCAGCGCACGTCCTGCTTCAGCGTGACCAGCTGTGGCCACGTGTACTGCGACGTGTGCCTGGGCAAAGGTGAGGGCGGGCGCGCGGGGGCCCAGCGCCGGGGCGAGGACGCGCGGAAAGACGGGCCGCGCCCTCAGCGGGCCTCGGGCGGGTGTGGAGCGGGGCAGGAGGAAGCGGGGCCGGGGCGTGCGTGCCGGGAGGGAGCCGCTGCCTCGGGCCGGCTGGCGGCGTGGTCGCACGGGTATTCTGCTTCTTTCCGTAAAGCGTAAAGAGGAAAAGTGCGTGCGCGGGGAGCACGGCGAGTTCACCCGTGAAGCCCGCTCGCGCGCGCAGGCAGCAGCGCCCTGGGCGGTCACCGCTGTCCTGCCGTCCCTCGGGCGGCTCGCCGTGAGTGGTGGGAGCGCCCGGCGGCAGGACGGCCGCGCCGCACGAGCGCCTTCCGCGTCCGGGGAGGCCAGGGGCCCGCACTGGACGCCGAGGCTCTGGGGCGCCGTCCGGGGCAGGGCCTGGGGAGGCAGCCGGAGAACTGGGGAACGAGCACGTCGGCACCGATCGAAGGTGCTGGGGTGACGAGAGGGCCGAAGGCGGAGGGAGCCAGGGCAGGCTTTCTCTGCGAGGAGCATTTCTTCTTTTGCTTCTTTTTTTAAGATTTTATTTATTTATCTGAGACAGAGAGAATGAGAGAGAGAGAGCATGAGAGGGGGGAGGGTCAGAGGGAGAAGCAGACTCCCCGCCGAGCAGGGAGCCCGATGCGGGACTCGATCCCGGGACTCCAGGATCATGACCTGGGCCGAAGGCAGTCGCTTAACCGACTGAGCCACCCAGGCGCCCCTAGTTTTTATTTATTTAATTAATTAATTTATTTATTTATTTTTAAAGATTTTATTTATTTATTTCAGAGAGAGAGTGAGAGAGAGCACATGAGAGGGGGGAGGGTCAGAGGGAGAGGCAGACCCCCCGCCGAGCAGGGAGCCCGACGCGGGGCTCGATCCCGGGACTCCGCGATCACGACCCGAGCCGAAGGCAGTCGCTCAACCGACTGAGCCGCCCAGCCGCCCGGGAAGAGCATTTCTGAAGACGGTGAAGATAGGAGATGTGGGGGGAAAGAAAGCAGAGCTTGTGGACTTGGCGTCCCAGGGCAGAGTCAGAACCGGAACCTCCCACTGGAGGTAGTGGTGTGGGTGAGCTTCGGTGGGAACGATGCGGGCAGGTCTGTGTTCACAGTTTGGGGGGACGGGTTCATGGCCTTGGGCAGGCTGATTCCCACGGCTCTTTTTTTGAAGCCCGGTCCAGTAGCTCAAGGTCATTCCCCCAAAAAGCCACCGATGCTGGACACACAAAAAACAGTGAAGGGCTTGAGGGTGGAGCACTGACCACAGCTCCTTGGCTGTTTAGTGACTGTGACTCAGGGGTAAGCCCTCCTTAAGCTTTGGTATACGTCCTTCCAGGCTTTTTCCTACGGATGCAGATTTCTACAATAAAAATGGTACTGTGTGTATACCAGTTTTAGTTACCTGAGTTTATTAATAGGACATGGAGCTCTTTTCACGTTAAAGTAAGTCTATCATTCTTTTTTTTATTTTTATTTTTTTTAAAGATTTTGTTTATTTATTTGACAGAGAGAGAGAGATAGCAAGAGCAGGAACACAAGCAGGGGGAGTGGGAGAGGGAGAAGCAGGCTTCCCGCCGAGCAGGGAGCCCGACGCGGGGCTCGATCCCAGGACCCCGGGACCATGACCTGAGCCGAAGGCAGACGCTTAACGACTGAGCCACCCAGGCACCCCAGTCTATCATTCTTTTTAAGGCTGCATGATGTATCTTTTAGTTGCTGTACCATGATTTATTTAACTGATTCCCTACTAACAGCTCTGCGTGTTTTCTAATATTTTGCTGTTAAGCACCACTTGTTCCCTTACGTGGTTTTTTCCTTTGGGGTATCCAGATGGTGGGGCTGCTGCACTGGGGTATGTGCAGTAGCACTTAGGACCAGGCACCCCAGAAAGGTGGCTGCTCCCTGTCCCCAGCATGGATGGCCGGCATTTTCGTTTCATACGTTAGCGTCAGTCTGCGCTTTTGCCAACTACTCATTTGGGCCCTTTCACACCTTTTATTGGAGCGCTTATGTTTAATAGGTTTGTAAGCACTGTTTGTGAATGTCAGTTTGCCTACCCATCAGCTGCAGACGGATCCTCTCTTTGTCAAGTCTCTTCCTTCCCTGCCCTCAGTGCAACTCGCGGATTTTTAGGAGCCAGCTCTGTTCATCTTTGACTCCATGGCTTCTGGCGGTGGTCGTGCTCCGAGGGATCTTGTCCAGAATCCCCAGGAGAGACACAGAGGGCGGGAACATACTGCCGAGGGTGGGTGCTTTCAGAAGAGGGCCACTTGAACGTGTTTGTAGGGATGGAGGAAAGGGGCAACTCTGGAGGCTGTGGGAGGGAACCCCGTCTTTCTACACAAGGACCCCATCCCACGTGCTGTGGGGATGAGATGAGATGAGACAGAGGAAGAAAGCAGAGGGAGTTGAGTTGTTCTGTGGTAAGTGGAGGAGAGGCAGGAAGATTGAGGTAGGTCATGACTTTTTTCTTGGTAACTGATACGGGGGGCCTGTTTGAACACCCCCCATAGGGAATTGGCGGGATAACACCCAAGAAAAATGGAGGGTTGCCCAGCAGTGCTGCAGGTGGGCAGTGCTGGACTCAAGTCTGTGAATGCACTTCTCGGTTAAGTGATTGTTTCCCTGGTTCTTCGCTGCACTGGACCAGAAGAGGGGGAGACAGAGAGGCCGGGGCTTGGGCTGGGTGCGCTGCTTGGCAGGACGAGGGTTCAGTATTGCCTGGCCGGCTCTGGGCTCCAGGCTGGTTTGTGAGAAAGGGAAGCTCCGACGTGTGGGGATGGGGCAGAGGCCAGGATGAGAGGCCCTGCTGCCCCCACTGAAGGCATTTGCCAACGACACCCAGGTGCTCTGGTGCCGCGTGGGGGCAGGTGAGGAAATGCAAGGCTGCCCTTAGCAGCCAGCCACATGGAGGATGGCAGGAGTGGAGAAGAAGGTGGTGCAGTAGGTGGGCCTGAGCCAGAGACCCCGGAGAAGAGCAGGTGGGACGTTAGCCCTGTGTTCTCCGGCCAGGAGCTGCCTTATGGGCAGCCAAAGCTCAGCAAATACAAAGCACCTACCCAGTGAGCTGTCTCCTGTCTTGCAGAGGTGAGGCCAAGGGGGCTGAACAAAGCCTTTACTTCATCTCTTAGACGGGGTGCAAGGAGCTATTTTCATTTTGAATATTGGAAAAATTTTACTTAGGATATCACTACAAAATCTAATTGTAAGAAAATCTGAGATAGATTTAAGTTTGAGTATTGTTGATCTTCACAATCACTATTTTGGGGCATATTGACAAAACAGGAAAAATGGATTATTAGTTGAATAAATCTTTTCAACTCTGTCCACATGCACAGTCTTGTCATTCTCTGAACATGGAAAATGTAAGTGCTATAATCCTGTATTATATTGAAGAAATACTGTAATTTGAAGCCTGCACTTAACATTCAAAAGCTCTACTCACTATAATAAAGTTTGCTCTTCTTTTATAGGTGGCAAAGAAGAGTGCTTGATTTGCAAAGTCCCTTGTCGCACAGTTTTACTTTCAAAACATGTAAGTTGAAATATGTATTATTTGGATATTAATCAGTGTTTTTTTTTTTAATTCAAGATTCAGTTTTTAGTCATTTGGGGGGGGTCTGAAATTTTGTTTCATTTTGCTAGGTTAATTAGAAGATCTTACAAGATTTCTGAGTAAAGTATAATTAGGATTTGGTTTTGAATACCTCGTACAACTTTCTTTCTTAACCATAGATTGGCCCTATGTGTAGTTTGCTGTGCTGAGTTCTGGGAAATGAAGATGAGTTGAGTAGGTTTCTTCAGCACAATACAAGCTCCTTAAGAAGGAGATAGAGTCTGGATTTCCATGGGGGTCATATCTAATTAAGAGGGTTGGAGGAAAGGAAGTTTAAAGTGGGTTACTGTTGTAGTAGGCTTAAAACGCGGTCTTTTGTCCTCTCTGTGAAATAAGTCAGTGTCACCTACTTGCTTTAAATTTAGTTGCAAATAATTATTCTCTTTATACTTAGGTTCCAAGGTACGTATTTGATCTGATGTTTTAATCTATAACAATCATTTCTTGCTGATTACACATATAATACGAAGTCACGCAAGACTTAAACGATACAGAAAATCATAATGGAGAAAAATCTTGTTTCCCACAGATATCCACAAGCAGGGGTATAGTTATTGCTGTGTGTGTTACTGTGACTTATTTTTTTACAAAATGGTGTTTTCTCAGTTGACTTGGTATTTTGGGCACACCCACACTCTGAAAAGACTGCATAGCATTTCAGTGTTGTCCTGGGGGGAGGGTGGTTTTTCACTGTTTCAATTTTACAGTGAATATTTTTTTGCTATGTTTCTGCATATGTTTAAGAACATTTCTGTAGCATAAATTCCTAGGAGTGGAAAAATAAGGGCACAGATTTAAGTGTTTAAACTTAATAGAAAGCGCCTTATTTCCCTTAAGAAATGTGCCAGTTTAAACCCTTGGCCGTAGAGCCGGGTTCTGCTGGGTCACGCAGCTGGTCGGGCTTGCCTTTGAGGGAGGGGGCGCCCCTGGCCTTTCCCTGCCCTCCTGGGCCCTACTCTCCATTCATTTATTTTCTCTTTTCTTTTCTAGAAGTGTATTTAGAGAGATCTGTTTCCTTTTGTTTCCTGCTGTTGTACATCACTTCGAGCATTGTTTTTATCATTTCTAGATAGTCTTTAATCTCTCTTTTAACTTCCTTTTCGACTCAAGATTTATTCAGGAGGGGGGGTGCCTGGGTGGCTCAGTTGGTTAACCGTCTGCGTTCGGCTCAGGTCATGATCCCGGGGGGGGTCCTGGGATCGAGCGCCACGTGGGGCTCCCTGCTCAGTGGGGAGTCTGCTTCTCCCTCTCCCTCTGCCTCTCCACCTGCTTGTGCTCTCTCTTTCTCTCAAATGAATAAATAAAATCTTAAAAAAAAAATTATTCAAGAGAGTGCTCTTTAATTTCTAAGAGGTTAGATTTTATCTCCTCTATTATTTTTGTGGAAAATTTTTAGTTTTATGTCTCTGTGACCAGAGAATATGGACATGTGGTTACTTTTTTAATTGTCAAGATTTTCACTGTGGCTTAATACATAGTAATTGTTAATGTTCTACACGTGCTTGAAAAAGTATGTATTCTTCTGTTCTCTGTGCATGTGAGAGAGTCAAGTTGTTCACGGCACTGACGCTGTCCCGCACCCCTGCATTCTGTGGGCGCTTCTAGCCGTCTCTGCAGGACCCAGCTCCTCCGTTCTCCATAGGCCACGTGAACGCCCTCCGCCATTCTTCCTGCTTTCCCTCCTGCTTCCTGGAATCTCTTCTCACCTGCATCCAGAGGGATCTGCCAACGTGGGTCGTGTGTCCCAGCTTCCTGGGAGTAAAACCATATGCCCTCATGCCCGTGGCTCTGTGGCCTGGCCTCTGGTGGACACCTGGTCCCCTGGCCGGCGACTCTGCCCCACCACCGCTCCTGGGCCAGGCAGCTTCCACCTCCCCCCTCCCCCACAGCCTTTAGGTCTCTGCCTACGGCTCTGTATGACCACACCTTCCTTGGCCTGTAGCAGGAAGGACACTTGATACCATGGCACGGCGTACGTGTGTCTGCATGCACACGCATCTGTGTGTGTGCACATGTGGGAAGTAAGTTTCACCAAACAACTCCTGTCCTTGCTAAATGCAGCGCCCCTGGTGGTTTCTATTCCGACTGGGTTTTTTGCTGTTGTTAAAACCAAACAGCTTCTGGACTGCAGGACACGCGTCTGTGACCGAGGCTGCGCAGCCACACCAGCCACAGGTTTTGGAACATGCATCCTTCTCTCTTCCTGGCTGCCCTTTGCTTGGGAATGACCACAGCTGCTCCACACCCCGACCAGAGCTTAGATGCGCACTGGTCCCGGTGGAAGGCGGCGCACGGGAAGCTGTATAACGAGAATGAAGAAGGATGGAGGAGAGCAGTGTCGGCGAAGAATATGAAAATGACTGAACGGCACAATCAGGAATACAGCCAAGGGAAACACAGCTTCACGATGGCAATGAACGCCTTTGGTGACCTGACCAATGAAGAATTCAAGCAGGTGATGAATGGCCTTAAAGTCCAGACGCGCAAGAGGGGAACGTGTTCCAAGCACCTCCCTTTGCTGAGACCCCCTCCTCTGTGGACTGGAGAGAGAAAGGCTACATAATCCCTGTGAAGAATCAGGGTCTGTGTGGTTCTTGTTGGGCCTTTAGTGTAACGGGTGCCCTCAGAGGACACATGTTCCAGAAAACTGGCGAGCTCGCGTCAGAGTGAGCAGAACCTGGTGGGCTGCTCTCAGTCTCAAGGCAATGAGGGCTGCAGTGGTGGCCTGATGGATAACGCCTTCCGGTATGTGAAGGGCAGCGGAGGCCTGGACTCGGAGGAGTCCTATCCATACTGTGCACAGGACGGATCCTGCAAAAGAAGCCTGAACAGTCTGTCGCCAAGGATGCTGGCTTCACGGACATGCATCAGGATGAGGGGCCCCTTATGGTGGCGGTGGCAACTGTGGGGCCCGTCTCTGCTGCGACCGATGCAAGCCTGGATACCTTCCAGTTCTGCTGAGGGCATTTGTTACGATCCAAACTGCAGCAGTGAAGACCTGGATCGCGTATTCTGGTGGTTGGCTATGGCTCTCAAGGAGAAGAACCAGAGAGCAAAAAATACCGGATTGTCAGGAACAGCTGGGGCACGGACTGGGCATGCAGGGCTACATACTGATGGCCAAAGACCGGGACAACCACTGTGGAATCGCCACCTCAGCCAGTTTTCGCAGTGTGTGAGCTGAAGGTATAAAGAAGACTTTGGGGACAGAATATGCAGAAGAGGAATTTTACCTTACAACTGGTCATACTTTATTGTGTGGGATAAAGCACTTGAACCACTGGAGATCCAACTTGTGATCTGATTTTGTGACTTCTTTAATTGCTGCTTTGAATTGCTTTGTGTGATTGACCTGTCCAAGAACTTTTGAATTTTTATATCTTATATTGATGTATAAAGTTTCACCTTTTAAAATAAAACCGTTTCAAAGTAGAAAAAAAAAAACCAAACACACTGTGACGGGCTAAGCTGATCTCCTGGGACCTGCAGTACGAACGCGGCCCACACCTGCTCCTTTGCTTCACACACAGGGCACCACTTCTATTTCTTAATTTGTTTGTCATTGAAAAGGGCTGTCGCTGTTGCACACACAAAATAGTACGCCGCCTTATCTGTCAGGTGGTAGTGGTGAGGGGACAGTGCAGACTGAAGCTGGGGAGCCTGCGGGAACCTGGGAGGGAGGCAGGCGGGTCTGCAGGACAGAGCCTCTGGTGAAAGCAGAGAGCAGAGCAGAAGGATGTGTGGACAAGAAGGGGGTTGCACTTAGACTGCAGTTGGCTGGTTCTCCAGCAGAGATGGAGAGGGGATGGCTGCGGCAGAGGGCTGCAGTGGGGAGGCCCTGAGCCCCGGAGAAGCCAGTGGTGTCCGGGACCTGGAGGCCATGAGTGGTCAGGGCACTAATCCTCATGCCTACTTCACGTAGGGCCCTGGGGAACTGGGAGAGGAGGAAGAACCCCCCCAGTGGGCAGAACTGGGGACTGGAGCTCATTAGACCAGAGGCTCCTCTAGACAGCAGAGGCCTGTCTAATGAAGATGGCCCCAGGGCAGGAACCCCAGGACACCCACCCACAGGGTCTCTGTGACTGCTCTGTTCTCTTGTCTTCCCCTGACCTTTGAGGGATGGATTCACTTGTCTGCCCCAGGCCCCAGGTCAGAGGTTGCTCACGGTGGGGATGGGCCTAGTTCCTAGGATGCAGCCCAGATCAGGACCTGGAGGACAAGACCACGTGCCTGCTAGGACCTGGGTTTGGTATGAACTCAGAGATGGAGCATTTGGGGGGGTGGCTTTTCTGGGTAAGAGAAGAGAGGAATAGACACCAGCCACTGGAACAGCAGACTGGCCTGGCTGGGAGCTGTCCTTGGCCCTGCTGCCCTTCTTTCTGGGCCCCCAGCTAGATTCCCATCTCCCCACCTGCTTCCCGTGAGCAACGCCACTCCAAACCTGGCCCCCAAAACAATCTCCTGGAAAGCCCCCAACTCAGCCAAGTGGATGCTGGTGACCCAGCAGGGCAGAACTGCTAGGCCCTGAGTGGAAGACCATCCACCGAGTCCAGCCTTCTGCTAATGTGCGGGTGGGTAATTTCCCCTTAAGCCACTGAGATTGGGAGCTGTCTGTTGCACAATTAGCCTGAGTTAGCCTTTGCCTACCATATAACTTTTGGAATCAATTTCTTTCGTCAGTTTCCACACACAAAGTCTCTTGGCTATGCACTTCATCAATAATGTGGGTAAAATTGAAGTCTCTACAACCTGGACTCTCTAGTCCATAAGCGCGGTACACCTCCATTTACTTAGATGTGCTCCAGTTTCAGTAATGGTTTTCTGCACAGAGGCTGTGTGCATCACTGTTAGCTTCACCCTCGGGTATTGATTTGGGATGCTGCCATACTCATTTCTTAAAATGTCATCTCTTTAGTGCTTATTGCTGGTGTATAAAAATTGGTTGATTTTCTTAGCTTTTATCTGGTGACCATGCTAAATTCACTTAATGCTATTGGCTGATCTGGAGCTTTTTCTAGACTCTCTCTATGCACAACCATATCATCTCTAAATGTTTAATCTCCGTGTCATTCCTCCCTTTCTTTCTCTCTGCCTTCTTGTTCCTCATTACATGTCAGGCATCCTTTGTCTCTTTCTGATTTTAGAGTGGAGCTTCCAGTGGAGTATTCATGTGCACCTTGGGTTTCTTGCTAAGGTTTATCATGAGCCGTGTTGGATTCTATCAAGTGGTTTTTCTGTAAATATCAAGGTTATTATTTGACTTTTCTACTTTATTTTGTTGATGTAAATTGCAATTATTTTTAGAATTTTAAACCCACAGTACAATTTTTTTTAAAGATTTTATTTATTATTACTTTAGAGAGACAGAGTGTGTGCGTGCATGTGAGTGGGGGGGGAGGGCCAGGGGGAGAGAGAGAATCTCAAGCAGACTCCAAGAAGAGCGTGGAGCTCGATCTCATGACCCAGACATCATGACCTGAGCCAAAACCAAGAGTCGGACACTCAACCGACTGAGCTACTAGGTGCCCCTGAACCCACAGTAGAATTTTAAACACTGTAACTTGGTTGTGATGTGGTATAGTCTATATGGGCAGAGGGATTTGGGGGTTTTGCACCTCTGTTCGTGTGAGAACCGACCTGTAACTCTCTTTTCTTACAATGCCATTTTCAAGTTCTGGTGAATCAGGGTTTTGCTGACTTAATAAAAGGACTTGAAAATTCTTTCATTTTTCTCTTCTCTTGCAGATTTTTTTTTTTAAGATTGGGATCATTCAGAGAAGGTACATTAGAATCATGCCTGACATTATCTGATCCTAGAAGGCTTTTTGTGGGGAGGTTTTTAACTTGGGTTTTAATTTTTTAATTAGATATGGGAGTCTTCAGAGTTCCTAATTCTTGGGTCAGCTTAAGTGAGTGGTCTTTCACTAGGAGTTTGTGCACTTCATCTGAATTTTCATGTTTCTCATCGTCAGTGTGGCTGCAGTCATCTGTATTTTCAGTGTCTGTGAGATCCGTAGTGATGCCCCTTTGTCATTGTAATAATGGTTGTTGTGCCTTCTCTTTTTTCTTCAACAGTCTTGCCTGGTTTTATTGACTTTTTATCAGTGTTCTCAGAGAACTAGTGTTTCTCTTCACTTTACATTTGTTCTCAGCTGTGTTCTTATCATTTCCTTTCTTCTTTTTTCTTTGGATTTAGTCTGTTCTGTAAGATGGGTGCTTCTGTCCACTGCCAGCCTCTCCCTCCTGGCATTTATGCTGTGGGGTTAGGGCAGCCCTCTCTTTGCCCTTGCCTGCATTGTATGTGTTTGGCTATTTTACATTTTTATTGTCTTTCACTTCGAAATAATTTGAAATTTCTGCTCAGTTACTCCCATGACCTGTGTGTTTTCTGAAAGTATATTGACTTAGAAATATTTGGGGATTTTTAGTTATTTTTACTGACTTTTATTGAAGTCTAATACAGAAAAGTGCACAGATACAAGTCCATGGTTCCAGGAATTGTTTGTGACCTGAACATGTCCACCACTCAGACCAAGACAGGGTTCATTTCTGTGACCCCAGAGACCATGGCATGGCCTCGACCTTCTGAAGTCCAATATGCAGTAGATCTTCCTGCCGAAGCAAGGGTCTTTGTCCCACCTACCCTGTTCGTGGGTGGTTTCGTTCTGTCTGCACGGAGCCCCACAGGGCAGCTAGTGTGTGGTCACCATTCTGATCTGCGGTTACCCCACAGTCCCCTCCTCTCATGCTCCTCACTGGCTCCTGAAACCCCTGCTCCCACCGAGGAACCATTTCCTACCTAAAGGCAGTGCCTTCTGTTGATGTCAAATTTCTCTGGTTTTTGTCTGTCTGAAAAGGGCCTCTTTTTTTTTGCCTCTATTTTGAAGCATATTTTCACTGAGCTTAGAATTCTTTAATGGACATTAATGTTTTTTTGGTGCTTTGATCATATTCCTTCCTTGTTTGTCTGTCTCCTTCCACAGTGTGGCTGTGCTGTGTGTGATGATGGTTGTCTGTGGAGTTGTCCTGCTTGGCTTCACGGAGATTCCACAGCTTGTGCAGTGGGGGCCTTTGTTAGACGAGAACCCGTGTTTGCTCTGTGTCCACAGCCTCCGGTGCCACTGGGGCCTCTGCCACATGTAGAATGATTGAGTCCTCTCTCAGAAGGCAGTGGACCCTAACAGACCAGTGACAGTGTTTCCAGGTGCTTGCAGTTCTGGTCCATGGAGCTCTTCATCTAGTTTGGGGTCGTCTGTGTGTATGTGACATATCTCTGCAGACAGGCATGGTCCCCACTTGCTGAGCACCAGGCTCAGCCACGCTCTCGGGGGAACTCTGCATGGCCCTCGGGGAAGGCTCTCGTTTCTGCTGGCCTCACTGGGAGGACAGAGGCTCGGAGGCGTCAGGCCACGTGCCGGGGTGGCAGGTCTAGCTGGTGCAGAGCAGGGCTCACACGAACCTGGAGGCCCTGGGCCCTGTCTGTGGGCCGTGCCGCCCCGTGTGCAGTGGTCTGTCCAGACAGCATTTTGCGGGGACCCCCGCTGTCCTGACACCACGCCAGCCCCCTCGTATCCCAAAGCCAGACCTGCTCCTGGCCCCTCCACTGTTCCTGCCAGAAGGCCCTGGCCCTTCAAGGTACAATCCCCAATTTCTACCACTGACCTAATTTAGTTACACTGTTGTTTTAGTGGAGTTTGGGGTCACAGATGGCCCCCAAACCGCCATCCTGACCTTCATGACTTGCTTACAGTCCAGACCAAAGACCAGACCGGGGTCACCCAAGACTCTTCCTGCACCTTTTCAGTCTGGTGTGTGTCCGTACTGTTCCTTCTGGTTGATGGCCGCTCCTCCCAGACTCCTGCCGCAGGATGGCTGCTGCCCGGGCTTTTATTGCTGCTGTGGTCAGGGGAGGAGGCAGGGCAGGTCTGCACTAGGGCTCGGAAGTAGGCAGACACCGTTCCTTCAACCCTTATGTTTTTAAATACTTTATGGTTGCTTGTTAAGTATCTTGTACATACTTGTGATTGGTTGAAAGCGTTCTCAGCTTTTTTCCTTCTTCTGAGTTCCGTGTGTTTCCACCATGAAAGCCTGGCTTTGGGGGTGTACTTCCAAGGAGGGGTGTGTCTCACTGCACAGATGAGCCCCTGTGGTCGAGGCCACTCTGCCCTCCAGTGGGTGCCCGGAGCCCCTTAGCACTGCCCTTCAGTCCTTGGACTGACCGACAGCCACCAGCAGCCAGGACATAGGCGAGCCTCCCAGGCCCCCTGGAGATGGTTTGTGGGGTGCTGATTGTTTGTGTCGTCTGTGGCTGATTCTAGATGTTCCTCCCCAGTGTCTGTACACCGTGTTGGGAGCAGTAACACGGACCCCAGCTCCCCTTCCCTTTCAGACCGACGCGGATATCCAGGCGCTGTTTATGGGCATAGACGGTCTGTGTCAGAAGTACTCCAGAGAGACCTGCCAGGTGAGCTCGACACGTGGCTTGCCCGCCCGGCATCGGAGACTCACTGTTGTGATGACCTCAGAAGAGACAGGGTGTTACAAGCTCTGGAGACCAGTCCCTCCTGGGGTTCCCTGTCTCCCGCGGCTGCCCTCGCTGAGACGAGGCCGTTGGCCGTGTTCGGTTGTTGTTGCTGTGCACGGGGTCACAGCTGTCGTTTGACCCTCACGATCTGGGGCAGACCTGACGGTTCAGGTTTGGAAGGGCCCCACGTCGAGGCCGCGGCTGCTTCGTGAGGCTGTCCTTTCTGAGGGTCACGGTCCACGAGGGCATGCTCTCCCCTGGCTCCCGGGGTGTCTTTCTCCCAGCCCTGCTCCCTTCACCTCGCCTGCCTCGCCCCCACATCTCACCTGCTGCTCCCCCTCCCTCTAGTGTTGTGAATCCGTGCTCACCCTGCGTCCCACCCCAGATGCCTGGCCTCCCGGCCATCCCTGGACAAGGTGTGGGCCGCCGTTCTGTCCACGAAGCCGCTTGGGAGAGAAGGGAGCCCTCCAGCCCCCAGCCATCCTGCTTCTCCCCGTTCTGTTAACATGGAGCCCCCTGCGGGCCGCCTCCCACCTACCCTCTGGGGGAGGAGGCTGAACGGGGCAGCATCCAGGAGCTGCCTCCAGCCAGGACCTTTCCCCTGGGGCAGCAGGCCGAGGGAGAGCAGTACCCACCCTGACCGTTCTGGGCCCGTGCCTGTCTGGCTCCACCAGCCCCACCGAGACCTCCCCTCTGCACAGCCGCTCTCCAGCTGTGACAAAGCCAGAAGCCCCACGGTGTCACGGCTCTGCCATCTACGTGTAGCCCTGTAGTCACACGCACGTGCCCCAGAAGCCGCCCACGATTGGGCTTGGGAGGTCCTCAGACCCACGGCATTCACAACAACGGGCAGCCCCGTGCTTGCAAGAGTCTCACCAAGGACATGGCGTTTCCAGACGGCCCCGCAGAGCGTGCACCCGTGTAGGGGTGGGGGGTGGGCTGCGGAGGCAGCTGCCAGGGACCTCCCTCACACCTCTGGGCCACACGTCCCATGGCCACGTGCCCATCTGTCTGGGTGTGAAGTGGAGTTTCCAGAGGCCTCACGACAGGATAGCGCATCGTCACGCACGTTAACGTACTGGGCTCGTTACTCTTTTTTTTTTTTTTAAGATTTTATTTATTTGACAGAGACACAGCGAGAGCGGGAACACAAGCAGGGGGAGTGGGAGAGGGAGAAGCAGGCTTCTCGCTGAGCAGGGAGCCCGATGCGGGGCTCGATCCCAGGACCCCGGGATCATGACCTGAGCCGAAGGCAGATGCTTAACGACTGAGCCACTCAGGCGCTCCTCATTATTCTTGAATGAATTGATAGGTATTGTAAATTCCTCTTGGTATTAACTTCTGGTAGGGAAGCACTGACGGAGCAAACCCACATCGACAGTAACTTTAAGAGCGTAAAGCCACCCTCAGGCCACAGCACGAGTGGGTGTCAGAACCACAGCAGGGGGGTCCAAGGAGGCGGTCAGGAGGTCACCCTTCCTGATCTAGTTTGGAAGAAGCAGAAATCCTCCTTCCCCTGAGCAGCTCCCTGAGCCAGGGCTGGCCCATGTCAGTCAGTCAGAGCGTGGACACTTGGCTGCCCCTCGGGGATGGACCCACCGGGTGGCAGGCACCCCGAGCTGTCCCACAGCTGCCCCTGCCCGTCACAGGGACCGGCAGAGAGGGTGCGTATGTGCTCAGCTCCTGGTCTGGGCTTCCTCAGTCTCCGCACTTCATAAAAATCTCACGGAGCGGGTGCCCCCTCTGTGCAGGAGGGCACTCTCTACCAGATGAGGGTCATGGCCCTTTTACATTTTGTTCTACTGGTGTCCATATCCCCCACCCCGGTCAAGGCCGCAGCAACTCAACCTGAGGGGCCTGACACCCTGGAGTCCCGGAGGCTGGCCCCTGCCTGGTACAGGTGGGTGGCATATGGCCACAGGGGTCCACGCTGCCCCTGGACTTGCACCAGGCCCCTCGGGACTCGGCGTCCCATCCACAGGCCCCTCTCCCTGCTCAGCTCTGCCCGTGGCCTGGTCCTTGCTGTGGCCTCATTGCATTATCCTGTCTGTGCCAGCCACGGAGGCCTGCACACTTGTTCTCTGCCGTCCTCAAAACACCCACGGGCCCGCCCACAGGCCCTGCTGAGCCCGAGCTCTTCTGAGGTCAAGCCCACCTGCCGGCGTGGACACAGCCCTGCTCCCAGATGCTCCAGGTGGGCCATCCTGTGGTCACTTCCAGATGCTCCTGCTTTCTGTTTCTCAGAGCGGACCCTGCACCAGGACACGAGGTTTACGGGTCAGAGGTGTGTGATACCCTCTTCTTGCCGCGGGCACAGAACCCGTTGAGGAATGAGACCAAGCAAACAGACTGTCGGCCTAGTCCTGGCTGAAGGCGACTTGGGAGGGGGGGGTGCCTCTAGATCTGCCAGAACGCCTCCCCGCTGTGCACAGCCCCCTCCTCCAGTCTAGGACCTGGCTGGCCCTTCTGTCCCACAGCACCTCACCCCCTCCTGGGAGCCAGACCTGAGAGCTGTCGCCGAGCATCAAGGACATTTCTGGGACGTGGCCTCATGAAGACGAAGATGCCCATGGAGGTGACATTGCAGGCCCCTCGTGGTGCCCCCACCACAGACTAATGCTCCGGGCAGAGCCTGTGTCCGTTGGCCCTTGTCTTGTGGAGCAGGGGCCCCATGCGGTGTGTCCTCCAGACCCCCGAGGGTGTGGAATCCCTGGGAAGATGCAGGAGGATGGGAAGAGGCTGTCACTCCTGACCGTGGTCCTGTCTTCTGGAGGTGGCCTGGGCCATAGAGGAGGCACTGAAGACCTTCTGTGGGCTGGCCGTCCAGTCCATGGTGGTTTCTCCCTCAGTCTGTGCTAGCCCAGTGAGCCTGGGGACAGCACCAGCCGCCCTTCATGTCTGCCCACTAAGCAGATTCCTGGGGTACACTGATGGGGTGTAGGACCTAGAGGATGCTGGCCTCACATCCCAGTCCTGCAGGAACCCTGCCCGGGGGCAGCAGAATCAAGTTTTAGCAGTTACAGGGTGGTGTTCCCGGAGGGGAGGCATCATTGTCTGAAAACTTCCCTTAGGGACACCTGGGGGGCTCAGTCGGTGAAGCGTCTGCCTTCGGCTCAGGTCATGATCCCGGGGTCCTGGGATCGAGCCCCGCATCAGGCTCCCTGCTCAGCGGGAGGCCTGCTTCTCCCTCTGCCCCTCCCCCTGCTTGTCCTTTTGCTCCGCCCCCTGACAAATTAAATAAATAAATAGAACTTTGCTCAACGTGGGGTGGCTCTCTCCTCCCCTGAGTAAATCACAGATCGCTGTTTCTGATTTAGTTGGTGTTCTCAGGAACCTACCGCAGATGCGGAAGTTGGGGCCCATCTAAATGGAAGAGCAGAGGTGGTCCCAGGTGCAGTGGGCCCTGGGGGTCCAGAAAAGGTCCCTGGGCTCTCTGGGCTCCACTTGGCGCTGTGCCCTTCCGGCCAGCCCCATCCATGTAGCATGTCCAGGGTGTTCCCCGTGGGTGCTGTTCGGTCAAGAGGCCTTCCCGTGATCCATTGCTGCGGCCAGAGGGATGGTACACTGTGATCGGCCCACTGGGTTGTGTCCCGTCCCATGGCGAGGCCCTGAGCACCACTGAGGACGCAAGCGAGGGGCGTGGTGCAGCCCTGTGGTCTGTGTGACCTCCGCGTGGAGCACACGGCCTCCGCTCGCGTGTGCATCTGGGCCCGCACCGCTGCTCACACCGCCGGCTGTGCTGAGCTTGGCTCCAGGCACGGGGGGGCAGCCAGCAGAGCCCACGCCTGGACCGGGGGACAGGGTGTAAGGAAGCGGAGCGTGCTTGGGCCTGCACCGAGGTCCATCCCAAACCCTGGCTTCTGGGACAGCGTGCGTGTTTGCAGCCCGGCCAGTTCCTGTAGCTGACACGTATTCTCTTCTCAGATTTCAGAATTTCAAGAAAAGCACAGAAAGAGACTCTTGACCTTCTATAGAGAAAAGGTAACTCCCGTGACTTGCTGCCTAGTTAACCCAGGCTGTGTCTCAGGCGGCGGGCCCCTGGCGGGCACCTGTCCTGCTGACCCACAGCCCAGCACGGGTTCGCGTCTGTGATCAGCACGTGGCCGCTTGGGGGACCCAGCCGTGGTCACGGGGGCAGTTTCACTTTGCGACAACACCGACCCATGAACATCCCCAGAGCTCATCGGGCACTTTTCCACACACAACAGCTATGAGGTTGCCCTGGGGAAACCTTACAAAAGGACATTCAAGATGCCTGTTTGCCCTATAAACACCCTCCTCTACACGGAAGGAGAGCAGAGCTTTGGTGAAAGTGGCAGTGTTCATCTAGTTTCGTATCTGGGGTGTAGACAGAGAGCTCAGAGGAGCACCGGGGCGAGGCCGCTTGCTGAGGCTGGGCTACACCGCACGCTTCGCGCTGCCCAGATGGCTTTCCAGCGCTGGCTCCTGGGGCCCCTGGCGGCCTGCACGCGGTGCAGATTTCCTCCGAAATAGCAAGAGGGCAGCTCCTGTGGCGGCCGTGTTCGGATTCGCGGCTTACAACGTTGAGAGGGTCAGTGTGTGCTGTCTATACTCTCCGCTGGTCTGCCTGATAACCAGAAGTCTGATTGTGTTTAGATCACAAAGCTGGAGGAATCCCTTCGGAAGTCAGTGCTGCGGATGGAACAGCTTCAGAGGTGAGTCCTCTCCACGGGCACACCCGGGGCAGCTGACTGCTGCCCGCTTGGCCGTCTGACCTTGTAAGACCTTGTAACCAAGAAGCAGAAGAAAGAGCACTTTCATTTACTAGAAGCTTCTGTCAAAGCAAAAGTGCAGTGGGAAGCAGTGGGAGCTGTGAAAACACACAGGACTGGTTCCCCTGGGGGGCTCCCCAGAGGGTCCTGGGGCTGAGGGGCTCCCCTCTGCCAGGAATCATGGCGCCCGTGACAGTGAATGCGTGCAGCCCGTGTGTCTGTCAGTGTGGGGCCCGCGGTCTACCCTAGGGCAGCATCCACACGGCCCCCTTACCGTCACGGTGCCTTCTGTTCTGTGAGACGGACTGTGTTCTCTCAGGTGTGTTAACACGGGGACTCTGCGCAAGTCCAAGTTTGCCGGGTCGCATGTTAGGTTAAAGTCTGCAGAGTCAGTGGCCCTGGGGAGCTGCTGTCCACCCAGCTGGTCGCATGTGCAGGGGTGACCCACACACTGCAGGTGGATGCTTGCTGCCGGGGGCCCTGGGCAGCTGGAAGCTACACGGCCACCACGCGGCCTGTCTGGGGTAAATGGGCCGCCGCCAGCCGGCACCAGGGTGAGGGTGTGCTCTGGGCTCCACACACTCCGGGGAGATCCGGCCCCGGCTGGCACAGCAGTGGAGGTCCCGAGAGGCCGACCCAGTGGTGAGGCCCTGCTCCGTCCGAGTCCAGGGAGCGGCAGAGAGGGTGATGCGCCCACGCAGGGTCAGTCCTTGGTGTACAAGTTCCTTTCTTTCTGGGGAACCGCTCCGCAGCCGCTGTCTTTCCCCGGGCTGCTCCCGTGCGGCCCCCCGGCCCTGCTTCTGTGCTCAGCTCTGCGCTGCACACCTTTTCCGCCTCGGGTTCATTTTGGCTGCTCAGTTATATGTTTCTAGAAGGTTCCTGGTCCTTTCTGCCATCGTGGGGTTAGCTTATTTTTGTTCCCATCTTCTGTTCAGGCACATCACAGGCAGGGTATCTCCCACACCTGACTCCTGCGAGCCCGGGTCTGCCTGTTCTCCCCGGGCTCTCATGCCAGGTGGAGCCTTTCTGGCCTGGCTGGGGCGGGGTCATCTGGCTGGCTCGCTCCGCGCGCCCCTCGCTTGGGGGAGGACGCCCTCACCCAGACCGCCGCCCGCGCACGAGGAACAGAAGTCATGCAGCGCGGTGTTCACCACGGGGGCGTCGGGTCAGCTCTGTTGTGGTGCTGTGTCCTGGGGACGCCAGCACAGAACAGACGTGTGTATGGAATCCAGGAGCCAGTGCCCTCGGAGATGCTGGGTCCCCACAGTGCAGACATCTGCCTGCCCCCACCCCCTGGTCAGTGAGTCACTTGGCAGGTCTTTGTCAAGCACCTGCTTGTTCCCAGCACTGGGCATGGGCAGGTTAGAGTGAGCGCAGGCCACTTGCCTGTCCTCAGGGAGCTGCTCTGGGTGGAAAGTGAGTCTGCGTGTACGTGAGGCTGGCAAGAGATGGGGGGCCGGGCAGACGGGGAGCATCTGGCTGTTTGTCATCTTCTACTTCAAACTGGAATGAATTCCGTGGGAGTAGACGTTTACGGTTTAATTAACACCTTCTCTCCATCTGTTTAGTATGAGATCGTCACAACAAACAGCTTTCAGCGCAATAAAAACTCCAGTTTCAAGTAAGTAACATGGGGCCTGAACGGGGAGGGCTATGAAGAGGCATGCAGCTGGGCTGTCTGACCGCGGCCTAACGCTCAGACCTCCACCACAGCTCCTTCAGCAAAGCCAGGCGGACACCCGCTCCTGCCCCTTGACTCGTCAGCCTCTGACAGGTGTGTGCCCAGTGGGAACGTCTGAGGGCCCCTGAGAGTCACGGGTCTGACAGGTCACATGGCCCTTCCTCCAACACACCTCCGGTTCTCCTCGGCCCCCCAACCCTGCAAGTCCCCGGATGCTGGACAGCTCGGTGGACACCCAGCAACACTTAGCACAGGACTCGGGAGCTTGGCCCTCCCTCCGGCTCCTCCGGGCCCTGCAGAGCCTCACGGGCACAGCCCCAGAGCCAGGTGTGTGGTGCAGGCTCGCCCATCAGAGCTCCGTCCCCACAGTCGTTGCAACTGGTCGGGGGCCATCCTGCGCCCATGCTGGGCTGATGGGCGGCGGCGTGCCTGGGACTCTGGTCTGGGACCAAGATGGCCAGGCTGGGGGAGGCGCTTGGAAGCGAATGCAGCACAGAAAACAGGACAAGATACCACAGCTGTGTTGGTGGCACCACTGGGGACCCTGACCCACCCTGACTGATGGGAGCTGCACCCCTCGCCGTGGCGCTTCCCTGAGACAGTTGGGGTTGAGTCTGGGTGCAGCACCGGCCCTTTCTGCCGCGGCTCACACTCGGCGGGCACACGGGTCACTCCCCCACCCTTCCTTTGTCCTTCCTTCCGCCATCTCTCCTGCAGGGCTGCCCAGACGACGCTTCCCTGTCACACGTGGGCTGAGTAATTAGGGGACTAACATTTACTGAGCACCCGCTGTGTAAAACGTGTCGGTCAGGCAGTAAGTGTTAAGGAAAGTAGACGAGATGTTCCTGCTTGCGCTGCAGGAGGTTTGGGCCTGAGTTGGAGGGGCGAGGACACGGTTGGCCCATGGAAGAAGGAGGGTGTGGGGCGAGGAGTGGAGCAGGGGCTCCAGAGCGGGGCCAGGGCCCGGTGGAGAAGCGTGCCCATGTGCGTCTGGCTGACAGGCTGTGGGCAGCCAGTGAAGAGCCAGATGCACGAACGGACCGAGTGTGGGCCTGGACGGGGTGTGGACGGGACCCAGGCTCACTAAATGTATCCCACTGTTCATTTAACAGAGTGGAGTTCATGCAGGTTGACCATACTCCTTCCCCAATGAGAAAAGTAAGTACACCTGTTCCCCGTGCTGCTTGTCCCCCACACAGCACACAATTGTGGTTTTCCTCAGCGCCAGGATACATGAGCGTTTGTGTAATGGACAGATCACAGCGGGGTCTCTTGTCGTGTGCTGGACCAAGGGGTAAGCAGGTTGGGGTGTGGTTTATAGGGTAGGTCCTGCATGACCCTGCAGGGAGCCAGGCCGGGACTGTGACTGAGGCACAGGGAGCAGGCGGGTGGGCAGGGTGGAAGTGATGCTGTGTAGTCAGGATCAGCCCTGTCCAGCCAAGCGGAAGCGTGAAGGGCTCTGAGGAACAGAGGAGAGAAACCAGAGCAGAGGAAGCTCAGGGCCCCAGGCCTGGCCCAAACAGAGCATGGCCAGACTGCCCCCTGGCCAGATGCGGGCAGCTTGGGAAGGGGGTGGGGGAGCTAGTCCCCAGGCGGAGGCTCCTGGGGCCCGGAGAGGGAGCGACCAGGTCGGAAAAGTGGCTCAAGCAGTGCGCGGCTGGTTGGTGCACATGGACTCGTCAGCATTGGTGACTTAACCGACACAGCACCTAGTGCTTCTTGTTTGCAGTCTCCTGGTCGCCCTGGGAGGTGCACATGGGTGTTCAGGCTGCTTAGTGAGTAGTGCTCGTTTCCAAGGGAGCCGTCCTGGAACCATATTAAGGAGGAATCCAGATTCCAGGATGAGCAGGTGGGAATGCAAAGCCATTCAGAGCTGGGATGGAGGAGACACCCCAGTCCCTGGCAGCTGGTGCCAGCAAGTGCCTCCTCCCCTGCCCATCTCCAAGCCCCACGTCAGGTCCTGGACGGAGACTGAGGCTGCACTTCCTCCCTGCCCTCTGGGTCCCAGCACCCGCCACCGCCTGCTGGCCTTTTTTCCCCAGAGGCTGGACCCTGAGCCTCACCTACATGTGGCTTAGTTTTGGAGATCCGAGACTGACAACCTAAACTGATTCATGTGTCACTGGGTGTTACAGCTGAGGGACCAGAATGTGGGGAACTGTCTTGAAATTGCAGAGTGACGTCTTGGACCAGTGGGAGCTCATGCTGCCATCAGGGGCAGATGGGGGATAGTGAGACTGCACAGACGTCTCCAGCAGACAGGCATCCAGGATGGAAATGAATGGGTGCACCTGTGTTCAGAGACGGGCTATGGGCTGCCAGAGCAGAACGCAGGGAGACTTGTCTACCCTGTCGATCCCCGCCCGGCTGCTCCGCCGGCCCTGGGAGTGGGTGCATGCTAAGGCACCTTGGCTAGAACGCTGTGCACGCCCAGCGGGGGTGGGGTGAGCGCTGTCTCCTGGCAGACCCAGGGTGGTGCAGCCGGCCTGCGGCAGGGGGCGGGGGAACAGGGCTCCGGCCAAGCAAGGGGCGTTGTCTGGTGTTTCTGGCAAGGTGAGTGGCCATGGCCATGGGGGAAGCTGAATGAGGGCATCACAGCCAGTGGAGAAGATGCCGTGCCCACCCTACGACACCTCAAGCAAGCAGCCGGGGGTCAGCTGCCGGGGCACGGCCTTCGCCAGTCCCGGGGGGCCTTGTCCTTGCTCCCCTGCTGCCCAGTGCCGAGCCTGGGGTCCTGGGAGAAAAGGCGAGCGAGGCAGAGCCTACAGGTGGACAGGGTGCTGATGGCGCCTCACACGTGGACTAGGCTTTCCCAGCCTGCGATTTCCTGCCGGGGACTCACAAGCATCAAGTGAACACGTCCCGTGACTCACGAATTCGTGAGGGAAGCCGGTAAAATGTGAACGCCAGCTTGAAGGAGAATCCCGAGGGCAAACACGTCAGCCGTCGAGAATGCAGAAACGAGTGCATGAATGTGCAGACACGTAACCAGCAGCTTCCACGTGGCACCCCAGGCGGGCGGGGTGGCTGTTGTCATGTGACTTCAGGACCAGGAGACCCCGACCCCGTGGCAGCAGACACCCTGGTGGGAAGCTTTGCACATCCATAACCTCCTGACACTGGGGAGTCCTAGATCTTTCTAGAGTGTTTATTCTCTCACAGGAAAAAGCCTGCACTGAGCAAGTTGTAAATAGAGGGAGAGCCATAAAGCTGCATTTGATTCAGCCCCTGAGCCGGGCCTGGTCCGCATGGGGCCGGCAGGCGGCAGGTGAGGAAGCCCGCCCGTGAACGCCTGCCATGTGCGGAGTGCACTCTTCCTTGGAACCATCTGCCACGTGCTGTCTTCTCGGATTTCCTGTGAACTCCTTGCCGCCCTGTAGAGCCCTCTGCCCTCGGAGCCACCCCCAAAATGCAGCCTGGCGTGGGACACCTCCCACGGGAGCTGTGGCTTCCTCGTGCTGGTCCAGGTCGGGTCTGTGCCTGCTCTGCTCAGAATGGGCCTTCGGCCGGGGCCCAGGGAGACGGTCGGAGTTCTGCGTGCAGCTGAATACAGCAGCGAACATCCCAATCTTAGGCAGTAACTCCCAGTCATGCTCCAGAAAACGGGTCCTCACAGGCCCTGTCCTGGTACCTCTGACTCCTGGTACCCATGGCAGCACCTGTCACCCCTGTGGCCACACAGCCAGGCTGTGCTTCTGTGCTGTGGCCACCACCCTGGGCAATCTGGGTCTTTGTATCCTTTTGGCTTCACCTGTTACTGGTTTCTCCCTAGAACAAATAGAAATCCTTTCTTAGTAGGAGCTAGGGTGAGAAAAGACAAGTTACCCAGCTCTAATCCAACTTAGTAATTTTTGCCTGTGCTCTATGATGATAATTTTTCTGGTGTTGCAAATACTCTGTCAGTTGTTTAGAACTGGACGGAGGTGGGGGTCAGGAGCACAGCCCCATGGGAGGCTGTGAGAGGAGCAGGTGCAAAGGGCTGCTGGGGTGCATGAGAGTGGTGGGCATCTGGGCATCCTGACTCAGTGGGTGGCCATGCAATGGGGAGCCCCGGGGAGGGTGGGCAGGCCAGGTACTCTTGACTTACGCTGAGTACAACAGCAAAATGGTGCGGTTGCCAGGACTGGCCCATGGGAGGAACCCAGAAATAGTGGGACCAGAGCACGAGCCCGTAGGGGGACAGCTGCAGCCAACCCACCATTCCCAAGGATGGCCAGGAAAGACGCTTCAACTTGGGAAGCTCTGTCCTGGTGTGAGTGTGCCATCAGTGGGTGTGAGCGTGCTGTCCTGGGTGTGAGCATACTGTCCTGGGTGTGAGCGTGCTGTCAGTGGGTGTGAGCGTGCTGTCCTGGGTGTGACCGTGCTCTCCTGGGTGTGAGCGTGCTCTCTTGGGTGTGAGCGTGCCATTAGTGGATGTGAGCATGCTGTCAGTGGGTGTGAGTGTGCTGTCCTGGGTGTGAGCATGCTGTCCTGGGTGTGAGCATGCCATCAGTGGGTGTGAGCGTGGTGTCCTGGGTGTGAGCGTGCTGTCAGTGGGTGTGAGCATGCTCTCCTGGGTGTGAGCGTGCCATCAGTGGTTGTGAGCGTGGTGTCCTGGGTGTGAGCATGGTGGTCTGGGTGTGAGCGTGCTCTCCTGGGTGTGAACGTGGTGGTCTGGGTGTGAGCGTGCCATCACTGGGTGTGAGCGTGCCATCAATGGGTGTGAGCGTGCTCTCCTGGGTGTGAGTGTGCTGTCAGTGGGTGTGAGTGTGCTGTCCTGGGTGTGAGTGTGCTCTCCTGCGTGTGAACGTGTTGGTCTGGGTGTGAGCGTGGCGGTCTGGGTGTGAGCGTGCCGTCAGTGGGTGTGAGCGTGCTGTCCTGGGTGTGACCGTGCTGTCCTGGGTGTGAGCGTGCTGTCCTGGGTGTGAGCGTGCTCTCTTGGGTGTGAGTGTGCCATTAGTGGGTGTGAGCATGCTGTCAGTGGGTGTGAGCGTGGTGTCCTGGGTGCGAGCGTGCTGTCAGTGGGTGTGAGTGTGCTGTCCTGGGTGTGAGCGTGGTGTCCTGGGTGTGAGCGTGCCGTCAGTGGGTGTGAGCATGCTCTCCTGGGTGTGAGCGTGCCATCAGTGGGTATGACCGTGCTCTCCTGGGTGTAAGCGTGCCGTCAGTGGTTGTGAGCGTGGTGTCCTGGGTGTGAGCATGGTGGTCTGGGTGTGAGTGTGCTCTCCTGGGTGTGAGCGTGCTCTCCTGGGTGTGAACGTGGTGGTCTGGGTGTGAGCGTGCCATCACTGGGTGTGAGCATGCTCTCCTGGGTGTGAATGTGCTCTCCTGGGTGTGAACGTGGTGGTCTGGGTTGAGCGTACCATCAGTGGGTATGAGCGTGCTCTCCTGGGTGTGAACGTGGTGGTCTGGGTGTGAGTGTGCCATTAGTGGGTGTGAGCGTGCTCTCCTGGGTGTGAGGGTGCTCTCCTGGGTGTGAGCATGCCATCAGTGGGTGTGAGCCTGCTCTCCTGGGTGTGAGCGTGCTGTCAGTGGGTGTGAGCGTGCTCTCCTGGGTGTGAACGTGGTGGTCTGGGTGCGAGCGTGCTGTCAGTGGGTGTGAGCGTGGTGTCCTGGGTGCGAGCGTGCTGTCAGTGGGTGTGAGCGTGGTATCCTGGGTGTGAGTGAGCGTGCCGTCAGTGGGTGTGACCGTGCTCTCCTGGGTGTAAGCGTGCCATCAGTGGGTGTGAGCGTGCTGTCCTGGGTGTGAGCGTGCTCTCCTGGTTGTGAATGTTGTGGTCTGGGTGTGAGCGTGCCATCAGTGGGTGTGAGCGTGCTCTCCTGGGTGTGAGTGTGCTCTCCTTGGGGTGAGCGTGCTGTCCTGGGTGTGAGCGTGCTGTCAGTGGGTGTGAGTGTGCTGTCCTGGGTGTGAGTGTGCTCTCCTGCGTGTGAACGTGTTGGTCTGGGTGTGAGCGTGGCGGTCTGGGTGTGAGCGTGCCGTCAGTGGGTGTGAGCGTGCTCTCCTGTGTGAGAGTGCTGTCCTGGGTGTGAGCGTGCTCTCCTGGTTGTGAATGTTGTGGTCTGGGTGTGAGCGTGCCATCAGTGGGTGTGAGTGTGCTCTCCTGGGTGTGAGCGTGCTCTCCTGGGTGTGAACGTGGTGGTCTGGGTGTGAGCATGCCATCAGTGGGTGTGAGCCTGCTCTCCTGGGTGTGAGCGTGCTGTCAGTGGGTGTGAGCGTGCTCTCCTGGGTGTGAACGTGGTGGTCTGGGTGTGAGCGTGGCGGTCTGGGTGTGAGCGTGCCGTCAGTGGGTGTGAGCGTGCTCTCCTGTGTGAGAGTGCTGTCCTGGGTGTGAGCGTGCTCTCCTGGTTGTGAATGTTGTGGTCTGGGTGTGAGCGTGTCATCAGTGGGTGTGAGCGTGCTCTCCTGGGTGTGAGCGTGCTCTCCTGGGTGTGAACGTGGTGGTCTGGGTGTGAGCATGCCATCAGTGGGTGTGAGCCTGCTCTCCTGGGTGTGAGCATGCTGTCAGTGGGTGTGAGCGTGCTCTCCTGGGTGTGAACGTGGTGGTCTGGGTGTGAGCATGCTGTCAGTGGGTGTGAGCGTGCTCTCCTGGGTGTGAGAGTGCTGTCCTGGGTGTGAGCGTGCTTTCCTGGGTGTGAACGTGGTGGTCTGGGTGTGAGCGTGCCGTCAGTGGGTGTGAGCGTGCCCCCCTGGTGTGAGAGTGCTCTCCTGGGTGTGAGCGGGCCATCAGTGGCCATCTCGGTGGAGAGCCAGCCCTCCAGGCAGGGCTGTGCTGTTTGCAGTGTCTGCCCGAGGGGGCCGGTCCCTTCAGGGTTGAGTCTGGCTTGTGGGTATGAGCCGGGGGTGGGGTCACAGAGGGTGGCCTGGAGTGGGGCCGCCAAGGGAGACTGCCTGACCATGGAGTAAAAGGACCACTGGGGTGGATGTGTCAGGGGTGGGGGCTGGGAAGATGGGCCGCTGTCAGGGGCCTGGGGGCTGGTGGCCAAGTCTAGTGACAGACCAGGGGGTCCGGGCATGTGAGGGGCCACGGGAGTGAGGCCAGGGCAGCTGGAAATAGCATTTGGCCCGACTCCTGGCAGCATCTGTGTTGGGAGGAGGGCTCCGCCGTCACTAACATTAGCACCAGGGAGGTGTTCTCTCAGGAAGTCAGGGAGGGGGTACATGACAGGTGCATGGCCAGAGCAGGGCTCCCTGTGATTTGATAACACCTCGCCCCATCAGCATCTAGATTGCAAGGTGATAAAATTATATGCACAGAATGGATTTAATCAGGATTTTAAACTTTATGGTATCAGGGGTGCCTGGGTGGCTCAGTCGGTTAAGTGTCTGACTTGGTTTTGGCTCAGGTCATGATCTCAGGGTCATGGGATTGAGCTCCACATGGGGCTGTGCCCCCAGAGGGGAGTCTGCTGGAGATTCTCTCTCTCTCAAAACGAGTAAAATTTATGACGTCAGTCAAGGACTTGACTTCTCTCTCTTCCGAAACTCTTAAAAGCACTTAGTGGAGCCCTCCGTGTGCTAGGTGCTGTGGGCTCCCTGGGGCCGCGGGGCACAGCAGTGTGGGGCCCGTCTCCCGCCAGCCCAGGAATTTCCCCAGCTGACTGACAGACACTGAGCAGTGTGTTCTTAGTAAATAAGGAGAATCTCACTCAGCAGGGGCCGCATCGGAAACTATTTTTCTTTTTACACCTTAGCCTGAGGTGGCAGTTGGCCCAGCAAGAATCTCTCTGATCAGCCCACCTCAGCATGGACGCATGGGTAAGTGGGGGTCCCTGCACCCATACCCCATGTCAGCACGTGGGCTGAGCTCCGTTCCCCGGAAAGGAGCATTCAGTCAAACCCATCAGGACGCACCCATGTCAGTGCTCCTTCAACAAAGTCAGCGTGGGAGTGACCTGTTCCCCAAAGTGGTGTGGCTGCTGGGCCCATTGGGGGACCCGTTAGAACCCCCTCAGAACACGCCACAGACAGAGTGCTCTTGCGGTAGCGGGTCTCCTCTCGGCCTGGAGCAAAATGGTATCATCACCAGCCTTGCTTCCTGGGAGTTGGAGAGGCTGGTGGGTTTCCGAGGGGAGTCTGTGTGCTCGCCGGCAGGCTCGGGCCCCTTCCCTACTGGGGTCAGGGTGGGCCCCCTGGCCTACCCCCTCTGCTGTTGCCCCCACCTCCTCACCAAGCGCCCAGTGAGCTCAGGCCTGCAGGGGAGATATTCGTGCTTTGTGACCAAGCTTGCCCTCGAGCCCAGCTTCTCTGCTCTCTGCCCCACCTTTGCTTCTTGCTGCCGGTGATATTCTAGTAGCTGCCTTGGAGTAGGACTGAGAGGCAGGCTATCTGCGTGGTCGCCTCTAGAGCCTCCTGCTGCCTCCCTCACGGCTGAGTGGGAGTGGGGGTCCTGCAGCACCTGCCCTGGGGGACTGTCCCGTGGTGTGTCCCGGATGCGGCTCTACATTTCTACCACTCGTGTTGTTCCTGCCGGCCGGGAGGCACCCCAGCATGGCTGTTCATCCTGCTCACAGCCTCTCATCCCCACTCCTTGCCTTTTGCTCCCACACTGCCCACCTCAGGCCTGATGTGCCGGCTTGGAGAGAATTCAGCTCATGGATGCAGCTCCCCACCCACCCTCCCCCACCCCCCGGGGACGGAGTTTCCCATTTTAGCCTGTTTATTCCCATGCACGGGCCTCCCTGTCACACCCTGGTGAGAGCTCGTGACACTTACTCTCTAGTCCTGTCCAGCTTCCCGTGGATGCCATTTCCGGGGTGCATGAGGTGGTGTTCCTCTTGGTGCTGGCTCTTGCCCCGTGCTCGCCTTTGTTGGGAGCGTCCTCTGGGCCCGACATCCCCTGCACCTGCGCGGGCCAGGCAAGCTGTCCTCACATGCCCCGGTCCCACCCACACCCTGGCCTTCACCGTTCCCGTGCAGTTGTGGGTTTCAGATCTGTCTTTACAGGACTGAGGTGAGACCAGCAGTGCATGCAGGGGAGTTGCTGCCCTGCTCATCTTCCTTTCCATACAGAAGCCTGTGACCTGGCGTCCCAGCCTGGCCATGTCCTCAGCCTCAGTGCACTTCCCACCCCCCCCAAGGAGGCTCTTGCCCCTCGCTGTCCACAGTGTGTGCGAGCTGTGTGCAGGGACATGGGTCCTCACTGGATTCTCTCCCCGGACACGTTTCCAGGAGGGAACATGGGGACCCCCTTGATGCTTTCCAGATGTATCGATCAAGAATTGAGAAGTGACAGGAGGGCTGCCCTGTGTGCGTCCTGCCCCGTGCGTCTCAGTGTCCCCCTGTTGCCACTCTGGAAGGGATGGGTCCTCATTTCTGTGACTGTGATCCTGAGTTTCTTCATTTAAGTCATCTCTTGTTTTTTTCTGTGAATTATCTATTTTTTCATTTGTCCTTCACATATATGAAATCCTCAAGATGAGGGATATTGATCTTTTATCCAATTTGCTATTTAATTTTTTATTTGATTTTTTTTTTTTTATTTTAGATACTTAATATTTTTATGTCTCAAATCTGTGGTTATGTCCTTTCCTGCCTCACAGAAGATTTCTGTGTTTGGATAGGTCTTTTCCATACCCATACCATTTTCTTCTAGTTTTCAATATTTACCTTTTTCCAAGCTCTTTGGAGTATATTTTGAAATATACTGTAAGATGAGTGTCCCAGCTTGATAGTTTCATAATTTATTTTGAAAATATTTCAGAAATAACACACAAGAAAATGGTAAGAATAATATAAAAAACTCCCATGTTCCCTTCACCCAGATTCCCCAACATTTTGCCAGATTTGCTCCCTACCCTTTATGGTTAGTGTATCTCTGAGCCACTGAGAACATGTTGCAGATGCAGTGCCCCAGCCCCCCTCAAAGGACAGGGGTGCTTGCAACACCAGCACAGCCTGGGGCCGCTTGGCATCAGCATGGCTCTGCCCCACAGCCATTGAGTAGCCTCGTTTGCTCTCGACCCAGAGTTCCCTGTAAGGACATCCTGCATCTCGTCCTCGTATAGCGGCTTGTGTCACCTTCACTTTCCCTGTCTTTCCTGTCTTCAACAGTTTTAAGGATTATAGGCCTTAAATTCTAAAAGAGCCTAAAGGCCATCCCCCGCCCCCAAGCCTGGGTCAACCAAGAATTCTATATCTAATAGAATTCTCCTTCAAAGTTTAAGACAAAATAAACATCACAGAGTAACAAAAACATAATTGTTGCTAGCCGACCTACCCTACGAGAAATCCTAACAGAAGGCATTGAGCTGAAGACGCACACTGACAGTACCTGATGCACTGGAGGGAATGGGGTCTCATTCTCTCGGTTACTCTACAAAACGTAAGACTGTGGAAGCAGCAAGTATAACACTCGTTGGGGTCATAATAAACAGATGTAACACGTAGGGTAGTAAGCACAGAGGAGGGGGAACGGGGCCATGTTGGAGCGGAGGTGACAGCTCAACAGAATTAAGTCAGTGTTAACTAGAAGTAGACTTGTTTAAACACAAACATGACTCCAAAAATAGTTTTTAAAATCAAGAGGAATTAAAATGTTACATTAAAAAGCACTTGTTTACCGCAAAAGAAGGCAATAAAGGCAGACTAGAAGAAAAAAGGTACATGAGACCTGTAGACAAATAGCAAAATAGGTGTAAATCAGATCCTATCAATGCCTACCTTCAACATGAACAGGACTAAACCCACCAATGAGAAGGCAGAGGTTGTCAGACTGGATGGAGAAGACACAGCCACACATTGTCTGCAAGAGACACACTTTAATCCAGCAGCACAAATAAGCTCAAAGTACAGGGTGTAAACCACACCATGCAGATGGTAACCAGACGAGCTGGAGCCGCAATGTGAGTATTGGACAAAACGGTGTTGGACGAAGGATGTTTCTGGAGAAGAGGAGGAACATCTTGGTAATACAGGGTCGCTGTATCAGGAAGACACAATTATAATGTATACACATGCAACAACAGCAGATTTATGAAGCAAAAGCTGACAAAATGGAAAGAAGAAATAGACAATTCCATTTTAGAGAATACTCTTTTCTCAGAGGTTGTTAGAACAGCTACACAAGGAAAGATGTAAAAGGAAACAAACAGATAGCAGTGTAGCCCACACAGATCTAACCAATTGGTGGTAATGTCAAATGTGAACACACAGAACACCCCCCAACAGAAGAGCAGAGATTGTCACACTGGTGCAAGAGATAGCCCCAACTGGATGCTGTCTAAAAGAGACACATTTTAGATTCAAGGATACAAATAGGAAAATTATAGGAAAAGATTATCAAGCAAACAATAACCACTACAGAGCTAGAGAGGCTATTTTCACATCAGAATCAGGGGTTGTTCTTAAAAAACTTTTTAAAGATTTTTAATTGGAGCGCCTGGGTGGCTCAGTGGTTAAGCATCTGCCTTCGGCTTGGGTCATGATCCCAGGGTCCTGGGATCAAGCTCTGCGTGGGGCTCCCTGCTCCGCGGGAAGCCTGCTTCTCCCTCTCTCACTCCCCCTGCTTGTGTTCCCTCTCTGGCTGTGTCTCTCTCTGTCAAATAAAATCTTTTTTAAAAAGTCATTAAAAAAATATTTTTTTTATTTACTTGAGAGAGAGGGAGAGAGCATAAGCAGGGGGAGCAGCTGGCTTCCCACCAAGCAGGGAGCCTGAAGCGGGGCTCGATCCCAGGACCCTGGGATCGTGACCTGAGCTGAAGGCAGATGCTTAACTGACTGAGCCACCCAGGCACCCCGGAAATCAGTCCTAAGATAAATATTATTAGAGACAAAGGGGCATTTCGTGATGATGAAAGGCTCAATACACCAGGAAAACATAATTATTACTGTAGACACCAAAAATGGAAGACCTAAAATACGTGATGCCCAAACTGCAAAATTAAAAAGAGAAATGGTTAATTCAACTATTACAATTCAGATATTTCAATATCCCACTGCAATAACTTGAACAACACTGTTAACCCCACTGACTTACCTGATAGGTGTGGACCCCACCCAGTAATAACACCACACACATTCCTTTCCAGGGCAAATGGAGCACTATCTAAAATAGACCACATACCGGGACATAAAACAAATCCTGACGCATTTAAAGGGATTGTAATCACCCAAAGTGTATTTTCAGGTGACAATGGAATTAAATTGGTAATCAGCAACAAAAAAAATCAAAACAAATATTTGGAAATTAAACAACACAGTTATAACTAACTTTTAATGGATCAAGGAAAAAAATCAGTAACATCAGAAAGTATCTTGAAAGAAAATACAACATACCAAAATTTTTAAGATGCAGGTACAGCAATGCTTAGAGGGAAATGTATAGCTTTAAATGCTTATGTTAGGACGGAGATCTAAAATCAGTGAGCTTCCAAAAAAATAAAAATAAAATAAAAAATCAGTGAGCTTCCAACCTTAAGAAGCTACAACAAAATGTATTAGAAATCTATGAAATAGAAAACTCAGTGGAATCTAAAGTTTGTCCTGTGAAAAAATTAGCAAAATTGGTCAACTTTTACCTAGAGTGACCAAGAAAGCACAAATTACCAGTATCGGAATGAAAGGGGGGACATCACTACATACCCTACAGATATTAAAATAATTATAAGAAAATAGCATTAACAATACTATGCCAACAAAGTAGATGACTTACATGAAATGCATAAATTCCTATAAAGACGTTATCAAAATTACGTCCAGAAGAAATAGTAAATATGGATAGACCTCTATCAAGTGAAGACATTGAGTTAATAATTTTA